TAAAGGTAAGGAAAGTGGAACCAATGTTTTGTATCCCAGAAATCTCATTATTTTCAACTAATGCGCTGACCTTGAATGCCGGGGTTTGGCAGTATCTTTAAGCACAGAAGCAGGTCCACCTGGAGAAGTCTGCGTGGTACAATATGCATTTTCTATACAGGTGGAAACAGTGAATTCTCTGGGCCTTGTAAAAATGAGGCATTGTGGGTGACTTCCCTTTGACTCAAGCTTGATGGTAGATTTCACAAGAGGAAAAAGTGTGTTTAAAAAGTTACTCAATACTGATCTGTCCAGAGTGTTTTTCCCAGGCTGGATTTAGGGAAGGATTATCTCCGATTTTCATTTAGTTCTGAAATCCTGGGTATTGGTTTTATAAACTAAACCCCCTTCGCAGCAGGTTGCTTGTTCTGTATTGTTGTTTTAGCTTGATGCATAGGAAGGAATTTAAATTCACATACAGGGTGGGGCTAGCTCCTTGCTGGGGTAAATCACCATAGTTCAGATATTTAAAGGCAGATGCATCAGTCCTGGCAGCCCAGGATCTGGCTTGCTTTGATTAAAATCTGATGAAGATTACTCAGCCTTACCAAGGGACTTGGATTACCATTCTATAAAAAGAAGGGCAGGAGTGCAGAGGACATTAAATATAAAAATAATCCAATGAAGGATGTGAAGCTAAACGCATGGCAAATTGAACAGCGATGCAAACACCCTATTGAAACAGGTGTAGGGCTGCAGGGCTGGTGGGTGCACACAAGGCTCAAAGCTATGTTTGAGTCAGAAAGACAATTGCTCTTGGGTTTCTCACAGCTGTGGTCTTGTCTTTTAAAGGCAGAATGTTCAGAAAGAGAGCCTCACTCCTTAGAAAATCCCCAGGGGAGTCTTGCAGGAGAAGTGGGTGACAAATCCTCTGCCTCTGCTTGCTCGGGGACCCAGGCTAGTGCCAAATCTCACTACAAAGAGGTGATTAGAGCTGAGGAACAGAAAGTCAGCTCTTGCAGATCTGAAAATGTGAAATGTGCATCGTCTTTAGGGTTTCTTACAGCAGTTGAACTTTACCGCTCCCTTCCATTGCAGTGTTCATTTTCCTAGTTCTTTGTTCCTTTTAAAGGATTTAGGGACTGTTATTACGCCACGCAATTGTGCTCCATGGGCAGTGACTGATAGAAAGGCTGCTCTGAGCCCTTTTTTGGGCCTTTTAAATGAATCGGTCAAACCTTTCAGCACATGTCCAGCTTTCCCAAGTTTTCGTATCCAGTCCCTTAAAATCAATAAAATCTAGTCTTGCCTCTGCAGTGTAGCTATTGATAGGGCAGATGCACTTGGATCTTCATCTGACTGCCTTTTGAATCCCTGAAACCCATTTGTCTCTTCTTTTGATGGAGCTTGCTGCCTTGCTCGATGGCTTGCTTGCATGGGAAGCACCTTCCTTGCTGACCCCTGTTAAAAACGTGGAAGGTTTTCAAGTAGAGTTGCAGGACTTGTGATTTGAGCATCCTTCTTTACTTAGACCAAGGGGAACAGAGTGCACGGTGCGTTGGCTGGTCTGGAGTCTGTCTAGGGTGGCTGGAAGATGCTTTAATGGTGTCAGAAGGCTCTGGGAGCCTGGAGAGTGAGGCTGAGCAGCCTTAAAAACGTTGCTGACTTAAACTGACGCATCTAAATGCACTGGAGGAAAGACGACAGGGCTGTTTGGGGACCCTCCTGGGTGATTACATACATGGCTGGTCAGCGGCATCGCCTGAGTGCCCCGGCAGCTATGCCAGTCTTCCAGTTTTCTTTCATTTCAGTTCAGGTCGGATGAGGATAAGATTGTATTTTAATAAGTGTTTGTTAGGGAGCGCTTCCCCCCCGCCTCCCACCCGCATAAAACTGTTTATTTTCCTTGCAGTAACACGTGTGTTGCTCAGCTTCTGCTGTTCCATGTGTCGTGCTCTGTTACTGTGCCTTGCTCACAGCCGCAGAGCAGGGGGAACGCTGCCAAGGCTTTTTCTGGGAATTTGCTCTGGTCGTGCTGCTTCCCCGGGAGCACTCAGTGGATGCATGTTGTTTGCAGGGGGGGGGAAAGTACTGAAATGTCAGCGTCTGAAGGAATCACGAAGGAAGCAAGGGGAGCACCAACTCTTTTCCACCTCTCAGAGGTGCCTGCATGCTCATAGCCTTGGAAAGTGGTGGGTGATGTCTTGCTGAGAAATGATACTGCTAAGCAGTAAATGTGACCCTCTTGTGCTGTTTCAAAAAGAGACTTTGCTTAAGGCAGCCTTAGGATAAAAGTGCTTCTCCGCATACCCACCTGCCCCAAATTACCAGCTGCCAAAATGGGGGCTGCAAGTGGCAGTGGTACCCCAGCCAAGGGCACTCCTTTCTCTTTCCAAAACACAGTTGTATTTTCACTTGGACTGGATGCAAAACAGTGCCTAAAACATTGAGATGCATTGATGAGCACATCTTTAAGTCACCTGCCTTCTTGTTGCAGACATGATTATACCTACACAGACTAAACTGCTGCAGGGAAGGCAGAGACGCAGTGCTCACTGCGGCTGCTTGGGCCATTCATTTGTTAGCATGGGTTTGGATTTCTGATGACTCAGAAGGGAGCTCGGCTTCCTCTCAGCTATTTGCAGATCTAAAGATCTGTTACACTGTGGTTGTGAACCAGGCCTCTGAACGTTGTGCAGAGCTGAGACCAAAAGCTGCCTCAGTCTCAGTGTTTAAAAGCAGAGAGCTGGTTTCCACGTGTTGGCTTTTCACGTGTTGGGTTTGTATGGGGCACTCACCAACTCACAGCAAAACAGTAAGGTGAGTGCTTGAGAGGGGTTCTTGCTGTTTGTCTTGGCTTCTTTCAGGCTAAGGTGGAGGTTAAATATTTCAAGCTTCTTGTTGAAGCCTTTGGAGTAGAACGAGAATGAGATGAATGTGGTGCAAATGCCCTAACTCCAGGAGCAGGTGCTTCACTGCTGTGAGAGCTGGCAATGCTAAATATCTCATACTTTCTGATTTATAATTTCTTCCAGATCTGGTGTGTTTTACCAATTATCCTCATATACAAAACCTGAGGAATATATGGTGGGAAAGTCCCTCTTTGTGTGGTACACACATGTGAGTGTTTTGTACTATATTTGTAACAGCAGCAGCAGAGCTCTTCACCAGAACCACATGGTAATGTTAAGCAGTGCTCGTTAGTTTGCATAGCTCCATGGCCTGCACCCACACCTGCAGCACCTCTGTGTACCCACTGCAGGTGTGTAGCCTCAGCTCTGGGTGCAGTACGTCTCTTCGCGCTGTGCTCTGAGCTCCTGGGCTACCCTTGATCAACTATTCCTATGTGGGTCTTCTCTTTCTGAGGTCTCAGCCCCAGCTGTACCACCCTTCCCTCTTATCTTTAGCTTGCTTTCCTGAGAAAACAGGGTTAATGTGTCTGGCTCTCTCTTGCCCACCCCTAATAACTTTCCAGCCTGATGACTGATTCCAGCTGTGCGTGCCAGCGATCTGAAAGATAATGAGTTCCTACTGGCTTGATATAAATAGATGGCGAGGGGAAGACTTTATCTTTGCCCCTCTCTGTCGGGAGAGTTCATTCCTTATCAGTCCAAGAGCATCTGTGTGAGGTGAAACAAGAAAGAGATGTTATGAATGCCTATGGGGAAAGCTGCACTTGAAGCTGGTATCCTACTGCGTCCTGGAGAACCCAGCCGTGATGCGGGGCTCCCATCCAGCCTCTGGCAGTTGGCTGGGGGCAGCTTTCCCCCGTAGCAGCACTTGTCTCCCCCAGGCCTCTGTGTTAAATCTGTTTAAGGCTCTTTAATCAAAACCTATGTCTATGTACGCTGGTGTCAATGGCCCAGCTTCCCATTTTTTTTTTTTTTTTTTTTTAACTATTTTATGTCCACAGCATGGGATAGACTTAATTGCCAAGGGCTGGAAGCAGGGCTGCTAAGGTATTTTAATTACATCTGATTGCTGCATTCTGCAGCCTTGCTCTGTCAGTTGTTCTACCACAGCACTGTGTAGAGCCCACTTGGTCCAGCACAGGCACTTTGGCTGTGTGGGCTGATCACAGAGGAAAACAGCAGTACTTCACTCCAGATGTCATTGGGGCTGTATCTTTTCTCTCTACTCTGACTTCATGGCAATAGATTCTTCCCTATTAGAGGACTGTAGTTCTTCCATATCATGTCACTTAGAAGCAGTAGAACGAAATTTACCCTGCCCTATTGCATGGGCAGAGCAGGAGTACTTGCTCTAAAAAGAACCTGCTTTATTGCTCCAGACACATCCCTGTGAGACTTTTCCCCAGCTCCTGTATTGGTTTCAAGGCTGGTCATTCTCAGGGGTCTTCTCTTTTCTGTCAAGCAGTAGTGCTCTCTTAGTGTAAGGGAAAGAGCTGTCTCAAAGACTATTTGAGGGAGGCAAGAGGGAGTGAAATAAGAAAGATGCTGGCCTTGCTGTGCTGAAACACCCAAATTGGACCCTTGGGGGCTGGATTGGTGCATGGAATAAGCTGAATTGCATGGAGGGACAGGCAGGAGCACTGCAGGTAAGGTAAAGCACCTGCTTGGAAATGTCTGCTCGCCAACAGAGAGCAGCTCCAACCAAGCGTGTATGAAATGAGGGTAACTATTGCATCTTCATATGGCTTTTAGGTGTGTTTTCAGTAGTGCTCAGGCCTGGCAGCATCTGCAGCTCTACCTGAATGTTTTCTGGTGCATTCAGCAAGTGGCAGCTCCCAGAGCACAGACTCTGACCTGCCTTGTCAAAGTGTTTAGCATGCAGAAGACAGAGAAAGAGTTTGAACCTGACCCAGGGCCTGGGGAAAGGAAAGTCCAAAGAGGAGCAGGGCACAGAGGTAAGGCTGTTTTTGTGCAGCTGCTAATAAGCACTTCCGTTCCTGCCAAAGCTTTTACTTCTGATTTAAGAGGAAACCTCAGTATCCACAATTTTTCTATTGAAACGTGTTTGTGTTTTTAACAGCATTCATCTGTGTTTCTTCCTCTTAATAGATATAACCCTGCTACAGATTATAGACGTGTTTTGGTTGAAATTCTCTGTGCTTGATGCATTGTCTGCCTACAACGCAGGGCAAACTCTGCTCCTCCCTTCTGGCCTGGCCTGTAATGATGGATTAAGTAGGTAAGTAATAGAGTGGTAATGAGATAACCACTGACATCGAGCATTAACGTGGGAATAAATGAAGTTACCATCCAGAACTAATGGCCTGAACTATCACTGGGTTGTAATTAATGAACGTGGTGGCTGAGATTTACAAGGATATTTTAGGATGCTGTTTGCATGCAGCTTTGGCTTTTATGGCTTGGTTGGAAAGAAATCAATTAATGCCACGAACTTAATGAATGAGATGACGATGTGCTTTGTCAGACTGTAGTGCCCCTTTCGTGGAAGCAGCTAGACCGGTGTGCACGTGGAATGCAGTTGTTTGCCTTACTTCAAGGGATGGAAGAAGTTAGGATACTGTGATCTCTATCTCCCTAGGTCACTTACACACTTAGTGTGTAGTGGAGCTGTTGCAAAGGTCTGTGATGGCCAAACTACACACTAGTGGTGGACCTGTGCTCAAGAGGCTTACACTGGAGAGCTGTCCCTTCCTCCTTGCATGGCTTAGTAGGCATGTGACCCTGCCAAACACTTTAGAGATGTGTGAATAACACTTTTGAGGTGGTTGCTAGGCTGTTGCAGAAAACACAGAAGAACAGTCAAAATTCTTCGCATTAATTGGTGGGAACAATCCAGCCATCTCTGCTGACTGTTGCTTCTCTCATCTTTCCATGGCAACAGTCTCTCTACAGCAGCCCAGGTGCTCGTGGTTGGGCATGTTGGGATTTCTGAGCCTTCTGTCTTCCAAATCACCCCTTGGAGCATGGAGGGAACATCTGTACCGCTAAAGTATGGCATCACATGATGCATCAAAGACATCTCTTTTTGTAATCATGTTCCTTATGCTGTCAGAGATAGAAAATGTTGAAAACGTGATCTGAACCCTTACATTTCTTCAGTGCAAACGCTGTTGACCTGTTTTTTTTGACAAAGAGAGGAAGGTGTTGAGTCTTTCCTTTCCGTGGGCTGAGCTGTCATACCTTTCTGAGAGCTGGAGGAAGGAAAGGGACTGGTAAGCAAAGGGAAGGATGGTCTCTCTCTCTCTCTGCCACAGAGCCCAACCTGTCTGCTGCTGTGAAGTTGCCTTTTGGAAGCCAGGATGGTGGCTGCAAGTGAGAATAAGGAGAGAAAGCGGCTCAGGCACTGCATCATCTTCACCTCTGCTCCCTGCTGTGAATAGAAGCGTGTGGAGATAGCACCAAGAGGGGTGCAGCCCACTTTTAGCATGGGCAGAGTAGGTATGGAGAAGGCATCCCTTCTGCCTTGCCTCTCTGAAGCATTTTCTAGGCATGTTCTAGCACTATTTTCTCTTTTGGGACCTGTTTTACAGACATTTTTAATGATTCTAGGGGAAAATGAGAGACAGATGGCCAATGATGAACCCAGTCCAAAGCTGCCCAGACTTGAGGGAGGGTGTCATTTCAGCTGGAAGCGTCACATCTTTGAGGTGCACGCTCAGTAGTTCCCTTCCATGGTGAACAGGAGGAAAGAATTTCCACCTGCTGGACCAGCACAAGCCAAGACCCAAATTGAGCAAAGCATGGTTGGATGGTTCATGGATTTACATATTCTGTGATATACACCTTTCCTTCCCCCAGCTTTGGGAAGTTTATTGCCCCCAACAAAGTACGCCGTGTGGCAGGCCGTTACGTGACAGGGGAAAATTACCCAGACTGTTCTCCAGAAGGCAAGTGAGCAAAAATTTTCCTCCAACTGGTTCAGGACAAAGTTAATGTAGGAAAGCCATTAAAATTAATGCTGGTAATCAAGGATAAAAACCAGCAGGGCTGTAACAAAATTTGGACCAGATTGAGTTTCCCAGCTGTCATGCTGCATGCTTTCTTAAAGGCAGCAGGCAGAGGGAGGGTGTAGTGTAAGGCAAGCTTGGAAAGCTCTTGTCAAGGGTGTGAGTTTGGGGGCATTTGGATTCTCGTAGCATTGGCTCCTTGGTCCAGCCCTGCCTTTTTTTGAAAAGCAATGTCTCTGTTTGGTCTGATGTTCCTTATGACTTGTATTTTATTCATATCATGTTTACCTGCTTTCTTCTGGAATCTGCCCTCAGAGTTCAGGTCCTTCTCCGGGACTCTGGGAACTTGCCTGCATGTGATTGACAGCATCATATGAGCATGTATAGGACTGCATCTCATGCTGTCAGGTCAGAGATTATCTCTAAGCAGCCCATACTCAACGATTAGTTGGAAAAGACACAAAGAAGCAGAGCCGTTCCCCTCTCTGTATTATCTGCCTCTGAGAATGGGAGAGTGCTGGTAGAGTGTAACCAGGTCTGTACTGGTATAGAGAGGAAGGCTCAGGTTTGATGATTTGTCCATTATCTGGTGGTGGGTACAGCCTAACCAGGGCCCAGAGTATCCCAAGGACTATATCCTAGTGCAGGAACTGGACTCTCTTCTGAATAGACAGCTTTCTCCAGCTTCACAGCATGCTAACACAGGCCAGTCACCTTCACCACAACTCTTGGCACAAGATATTCAGCTGACTTGATGCTTCAAAGTAGGCTGAATCTGGTATAACCAAGGCAGAATTTCTGTGCTCCAGAAGTGAAGTAATACCCCATGCTTTCAAGTGACCACTGGTTTGACAGCAGTAGTGAAAGGGAAAGGCATGAATGGGTCAGATATCAGGAAAAACTTCTAAGAAAGAGTGGTGAGGCTGTGAAATGGGCTGCCCAGGGTGGTGGTAGGGTCACTGTCTCTGGAGGTGTTCAAGGATTGTCGAGATGTGGCACTGAGGGACGTGGTTTAGTGGGCAATAATGGTGATGGGTGGATAGTTAGACTAGATGGATCCGATTGGAGGTCCTCCAATTAGAGGTCTTTTCCAATCTTAGTGATTCTATGAAAGTAGTCTCTGAGAAGCTTGGATACGGTGTCTGAAACGAGCTGAGGAAGGCACCTCATCTCTAAGCACATCCACCTTCTGTAGCATACACCCTGCCAGGCACAGAGAGGTCCTGAGTCCCTCAGTCACTGCAAAGAACAGCAGATAGATGGAGCAGACAGAGCTGGAGAGCATTCTTTTTTTTTTTTTTTTTTTTTTGTGTGTGTGTGTGTGTAAAAATCGTCGAAGAATCAGGGTGCCAAAAATATTTTGATGGAAGTGACTATGTGAAATATCTTTTCATTTCGATTATTTGAAAAACAAAAACTGTTCATGGGTTTTAAAATTCATGTCCCCTCCGGGTTGCTTTGTTTTGTTTTGTTTCTTATTCCTTCTCCCTTATTCCTCAGAGGGAGCCATCCAAACCTACACGGCGTGTTATTTCTTGAGGAAATGCAGTGTGATCTTTTTCCAGTTTAACCGAGGCTGAAAAATCTTCTGGTGTTTCATTTGCCTGAGAAATTTGAAAAAAAAGCTTGGATGGAACAGAGGCCTGAATGGTTCAGGGGGAACCTTGTAGGTTTTGGAGACCCACTTGGATGGGAGTAGCTGCAGGAGCTCTTTGCTGTGCAGGTTGGGGAGGAGGTGATGCCATCTTTGCCTGGGCCATACTTGGTGCCCAACACCTTTTCCAAGGGTGAGGGGCATAGGAGTGCAGAGCTGTGTCTTGGTTGCAGCAGGGACCTGCTACTGTTGAAGTATGACTCTCAGCTTTCTGGAGTTGTGGAAAACATCCAGATAATGGCTGAAACTGGGAGATTAAAGGGCTATCTTGGCTTTTGAGGACGTCTCCATGGGATGTCCCATAGGTGGCTTGTTGGAGGTGAACCACAGAGGGAGACTGCACTGGAGAGGCATGGAGGCACACATGGGATGAGAGTGGTGGCAACTGCCTGCGTGCCTGGAAGCAGGGCAAGCAGTGGGCTGTGGGTAGAGAAGACCACCCCTGCCTGTTGCTGCCATCTCCACAAGCTTCCAGCTCTGCCGTGTAGCTCTGCCCGGATCTGCAGTAGAGCTGCTCATCCCCAGCCCTGCCATCCCTGTGCCCCACATGCTGCCTCTCCTATAAATAGCTGGATGGGAAGCGGAGCGCAGAGCTGCCGCAGATGGCCCCCAGTTCCACGCGCACTCATGTGTGAGATCCCAGAGAGGGGCTGTCAATTCTTTGCCTACAGCCACCCATGCAACCTCATTAAGAATGGTGTCGTCTTCCTTAACCCCCTTCGCCCCCTCCCTCCCCACTTCAACGTGCCTACATTCGAGCACCCTTATTAAACGTGCACTTCTAAGCGAGGAGCGCTGACTTCCCCTTAATTGAGGCATGATAATTAGAGCATTAACACATTAGGAGGGTGAGACAGCATGTTTAGCTTTTGTGATTAATTATCTGAGGATTGTAATAAGTTGTTAAGACATTAATTACTCTGGCATGTTTATTGCTCTTTATTGCAGAGCTGACACTTGGTGGAAGAGTTGCTGGTGTGCCTGGAGGTGCAGTGTGAGGTGGGCTGGCCAGAGGAGACCTCTGCTCCCCCGTAGACACTGAGCTGCTGCTTGGGAACGGATCTTGGGGACCAGAAACAGCTCCTGAACCTCCAGCAAGCCACCTCGGGATGGAAGTGGCGTTTGAATCTCTTAGAGTCATAGGATTATGAAGGTTGGAATAAAGCACTGAGATCATCAGCCCATCCTCACCATGCCCACTAAACCGTGTTCCTCAGTGCCGCATTCTCCCTCATTTTGGGACCGCCTGGGAGCTGGAAGGTTTATTGTTATGGATGGTTTCAGCTGGATTTCTCTCTTCTTTCAAACAAAGTGTTTCCTCTTGAATGGTTTGAGCCTGCCCTCATTTGGATCTTTGTTTTTGCAAATCCAAGTCAGCATGGCTCATTCTGTCTGGATCTGAGGAGGATGGCTGTCTGTTGGAGACAAGCTAAAGTTCAGCATGTCGGCAGTGGTCAAGGAATGAACCAGGACCCCAGTGGCCTCGCTTGGCTCTTGATCAGATGAATTTTCTTATGGAGAGCTGGGAGGTGGGTTAAGGAAGGCTGTTGCTGTGGCAGCAGGAGCGGATCAGCCCTCTGCAGCCTGCTCTTCACACAGCAAGCTGCTCAGCGACCTGTCAGCGCTGTGCTGATCAGATGGGGGCTGAAGGCAGAGTTCAGAGCAGGAGGATGGGTGGGTCCGTGTGCTGCTGTGACAGAGAAAAAAGGCAGCAGGAGAGTGTGATGGGCCTGTCCCAACCTTCTGCTTTTCTCATGAGTTGCATAGTGCCAGACCTTTGCTGTCCAGTTCTTTGGGTTGGGGACAACACGGGAGAGACAGGGGAAATGGAGTAACAGCCCCAGACACTGCCATGGAGAATAAAATTGGGAAAATGGTGAAAGAGAAGAAGGTGAGAAAGCTATGAGTTTTGTGTGTTTGCTGTTGGTTTGATATTGGATAGCCCCGTCCCTGCAGACAGCCATGGTTAGGATGGGTGGGCTCTGAGCACTGATGGAGCTGTGGGTATCCCTGCTCAGTGTGGGGAGGTTGGACCACATGGCCTTTAAGAGTTCCTTCCAGCTCAAAACAATGCTGTCGTTCCTTGGGGAGCCTTGGAGCTGACATGTCCATTTCCAGGCTATGGCAGAGCCCTTGTGGCTTTGCAGCATGTGCTTGTGTAGTGGGGTAGTAGCCAAGGGAGTGGAAGGGAGTCTTCTCATCAGACTTTAAATGTGAAGACCCTGTCCTGTCCATCTTTCCCAAGGACAAACTGTCTCAGCGTGGCTCCCACCAGCTCAGTCTTCTGTCACTGTGTCACTGTCACTGGTGGCTGGGGAGCTGCACTAGGCACTGAATGCCCACCCCATGTGCGAGCTGGGATCCATCTTGTGTCAGCTGCCTTCAGCCCTTCCGCGTTGTCTCGCTGTAGCCCAGCCTGAATTTGGCATTCGCTGTCAGGTGGCTGATTTCTGCCTGCAGAATATGGAAAGCGTCAGCCTGGCATTTCCCGCTTGCCTCCCAGGGACAAAGCAGGTCATGACTTACGTGTATTATCATTAAAAAGATAATTTCCTCTAGATGTGTGCAATAAGACAATGGTGCTGACCTGTGATCCTGGCATTGCACAGCATTAATGATTTCCCTTTGCAGGTAATAAGCAGCAAATGTACACATTTTGGGGAGATCTGAATTTTTTTTTTTTCCTTTTAACACTGCTGTCTTCCTAGGCCAGACTTAATTAGCAGACCTCATTATTTCCTGAAATGTAACTTGACTTCCATTGAATGAGAATTGTTCAGTGGATGGGGAGCAGCAGAGCGGTGCTGCAATATTCATATTGTTTAAATTGCAACATTAACATTTCATGCCGCTCTTGGCATATTTTCAGGTGCAGCCCTTTAGCTCAATGCAGTGCTGTGAAAGGTTGGATCAGAACAATTAGGATACAGTGACTGGATTTCTGGATTTTTTTATTTTTTTTTTAAAGAACTCAAGCTTAGATTCAATCCCCATCACTCTTTTTGTTTGGCAGAGCAGGGATTCCAGCGTCCCTGAAGTAAATACTTTTCTGGAATAAAGGATGTGCTGTAGCACATACTCACCTCCTGTCTTAGTAGAGATGAAGCCCTGCAGGTACAGGCAGTATGTGATTTACAGGACAGGAAACACCTCCTGGGACTTGACCTTTACCAGGTAAATAAGAGAATTCCCCAAAAATGCTTCTGGCCACCTAGGCCAAAGACACACACAAAAAGGCTGTTTCCCACTTTGCCATTGTTCTTGGATGCCTCAGGCCAAAGATGGCACTGTAGTAATGCCCAGGTCCGAGCAGTCCCTACATGAGCACTTGGATTGCGCTCCCTGTCTCCAAACAGCACTGGGCTTTGGTCCTGCATGGGGGCTCCAGTGACCTTTGCTGCCTTGCTCCATGGTGTGCTTTCCAATAGTTTTTCCTGTACTGAAGATCAGTGCCAATGATGCGAGTTAATACTGAGCAATCACGGAATACCTGGATTAGAAGGAACCTTAAAGCCCACCCAGCCCCAACCCTATTGTGGGCTGGCTGCCCCCCACCACTAGCTTAGGCTGCCCAGGGCCACATCCAGCCTCTCTTTAGCACCTCCAGCGTTGAGACACTCATCTGGGATTGCTGTGAGCCAAGTGCAACACCTTGCATTTGGTCTTATTGGTGTCAGGAACAACTCCAGCTTCCACCCTGGAATGACTTAATTAGGGTCTCTGACTTCAGCCAGCCATGCCTCCCATTTGTAACGTGTGCAGTGGGATCCATGACATCTTATCTTCTATGGATACGTGGCTTGGATCAGGGTTCTCTAATGTCTGGTAAGCTGCTCGTGCTGAATGGAACACCTCCTCTCGTGGGATATTTATAGCATCCTGCTCTCCCACGCAGATTGTCTGGTGTCTAATAGTGGATGATGCACTACGGTTTGCAAGGTGCTAATAATCTCTCTCCTCTGTTTGACAGTCTGTTCCCATGAGATTTATAGACTCTGACTGTCCCTGAGACCTCTGCCTCTCTGTCAGATCAGGCTGAAATCTGTTCTCAGTGTCAGAAGCTGCTGCCAAGCGGGCAGGGGATGGACTGATGCATGTGTTTCAGAACTCAGGCACAGAGCTGAGGGCAATAGGAGCTCTGATTTCCAACTTGTGGGTTCACGAAGGTGAGCATCCAGGAGAAGCACTGTGCCTGCAGCCATCCTGCACAAGATGCCATGCTGAGGGACACTCATGGGCTGCACTTGGTGTTCCCATCTCCTGCGGTGACCATCACAAGCGGCACAGCCCCTGTGGGAACGGCCCCTGAGGACAATAAACGAGCCAGCCCTGAGCTCCCGGCTGCTGTGAAGAATTGCCTGGCTAAAGGATAATGAATACCGCAGCAGGAGACAGAGCGTTGCTCCGAGGCCATCCATCCCCTTTATCACCCCACTAACAAGCCCCTGAGCGACTTCAGAGAGGCTTCTGCAGAGCGGCTCAATCCCTCACCATGCTGGCGGCTGGGTGCTGGGGGCTCTGCAGGAAACCACAGTGCTATCCCACAGAGCAACTGCCAGTGCCGCCTAGGGGTCCATGTAGTGCCAAGAAGGGGCAGAAAAGCCAGGCATTCTTTTTTTTTTTCCAAAGTACTTTTGGGCCCTGCAGCACACTTTGGAGCACTGCTCTACCCAGCTCCCAGCCTGGCTAAGATTTCCAAGATCTGTACAAGGCCTAGGAGCAGTTTAGTGCTGCTGGCCAGGAGGTGAGTTGGTTCTGCTTCACTTGCAGCACAGCTGAGTCTGTGCATGAGCCCGATGCAGGGCAGAGAGGGCAGGAGTGATGTGCTCTTCCGAAGAGCTAATAAAAGCTGATTTCTCCCATAGCTCCGAGCCAGTGGGAAGCATTAGTGGCTGGCTGAGTGCCTCCCACACTGTGCAGCGTGCTGGGTGCTTGTCCTCCTGCGGAGGGAAAGGCATCTCAGCAAAAGCTCAGGCGTCCCTTCTGGGAGAGCAAACCAGGCACATAGCTGCGCAGCTGGACATGGGAGGCAAGTGGGAGCACGTGGCACAAAATTCCATTTCTGAGCAAGTTCTTCTGCCTCTGCTCAGGACTTAAGGTGGGAGAAGCACACTCATTGCCTGACTGGACTCCAAAAAGCCCCAGTGCTGAATGCCTCCATTGAGATGCTTATGTGCAGCAACCCAAGCGTGCTGGTACTCAGTGTGCCCACCTGCCTGAGTGTGTCTGGGACACAGCATGCAGTGTGTAGGCACTCAGCAGAGCTAATTGCCAGTAATTGGAAGGCTTTTTTTGTCTCATCTTTCCAGCATTATTTTGTCTTCTCCTCTAGGTTTATCTGTAGGAAGATGCATTTAGCATGGTTCCTGCAAGAACTTCACATCCAGTGCTGGAGGAGGAGAAGGGAAAGCAAACAGAGTTGGGTGTCTTCAGCAATGTAGGTGGTGGGGGAAGGGCAAAAGGCTTGAAAAAAGCTGCAGAGCCATTCAGGAAGGTGCAGAGAGCACAGTGATGGGCAATTAGGTTGTTCCAGGAAGGACAGAAACAGCAGAGAGCAGCCAGCTGAGGCTCAGGAGCTCTCAGATACTCAGTAGCAGTTTTGACTGAGGTCGCTGGGTAGGGCTGGTTGTGTTTCATGCCTCAGTTTCCCCATGGGAGGGTTCGTTTACAGCCTGAAAACATCTGGCACTTTTCCTCCTTTGACCAGCACCGTTGAGTGTTGAATTGAAAGGAAATACAATGCATCACCCTCCTTGTGGGCTGCCACTCTGCCAAGAGAAGTGGAGATTGGCCTTCCATCACGGGGGGCTGGGGTGGAAAGAGACCTCCTGGAGCACACAGTGGAGAAATACTGTCATTATCTGAGGAAGAGCTGACAGAGATGGAGCGCTCCTTCACCTCGGCTGCCAGACCTCTGCCCTGCTTGTTGCTAACAGGACGGGGAAGTGCTAACTGAGGAGCTATGCCAGCTGCAGTGCTCAAAGCACTGTCTGCATCCAGATGTGAGAAACAGCTGGGACGGCAAGGCTTTTACAGACTGGTGGGGGTGGCTTTGGTCTTTTTGCTGCCTATCAAAAGCACTTGCCATTGGGATCAAAAAACCTTTCTCCATACTTCTGATGGGTGCTGGGATGGGAGACACATGCCTGGATGTGCACCCTGGGATGGGTCAGGAAAGGACCTACTGTAGGGAACATGCTTAGCATGGGGTTGGACTGCATGATCCCCAGAGGTCCTTTCCAACCCCTACAATTCTGTGGATCTGTGATGTCCCTGGCCATGAAGGTCCCAGGATGCAGGAGGCACTGTAACTCTGCCCCCTGCGT